AAAAAAAAAAAAAAAAAAAGTGTCATTCCTTCTGTTTGAAAAATGGCAGTGCCTGCAAAGGCTCCTTCCCGTTTGTGGGGGGACACTGCCCAGTTCATCCTCACTGGGCAGGAGTTATTTAGTGGAGTGTTGGAGCTACCTTACACTGGCTTGGGAGGCTGCGCACGTCTCTCCCTAAATGTCATGTTAGTAGCTTGAAATTGACCATGATGGGAGGATTTACACCACAGAAGTAGGCAAATATTACAAATAAGGGCATTTTCCCCCAGAGATCCAGTTGGTAAATACATCCCGGCAAAAAACTGATTATAGTAATTAGTATAGTATAGTAATTTTACAGGATTTTACATAAAAATCTCACTATTTCATGGAGTTTAGAAATCCTTTGGGGATGGGAAGATTAAGAAAGAAGGCCGGAGAGCAAAATATAGATTACTTTAGAGCCAGCCTACTCCATCCTGTATACTTTTCAGCACTTTCACGTTGAATCTTCACAGTGGTTCTATGAGGTCAAATATCATTTTAAATAATTTATTACCATAGAAACTAGTTTAATTTTGTCCTTAAAAAATTGAAGAAGGAAGCTTGGGAAAACATGTTTCCTATTGTAGCTTTGCTCTTTATTCTGTCTATCTCAAGGTAGAATTGCCAGGTTTATCCTAACCACGACCCTATATCTATATAGGTACATCCTAGTAGATGAGAAATTCCTCAAATCATTCAAAACTGAAGTTACTTAAGCAATGATTACCAAGCACACAGGCCTACCATCTTCTTGTATTGCCCCAACCCGTGCTGGCTTCTGCTTCTAATCATGTATATTTTAGAGTTCACTATTGAGTTATAGATATGGGGTTCTTCCCCTTATCGCTAGATAGATAGAGCAGATGGATAGAATTGATAGATCAATTCTACAGGTAGAATTGAATCTGGTCTTAATAGACAATTATTGATTCCCTAATTTTAGCTCACATTTGTTAGCATTTACTACATGCCAGATCTTATGCCAAGCTCTTTACCACATTATTTATAATTTATGTCAACCCCAATAAGGGCCAGTGTATAAATTATAGGATGCTTAAGGATGGCTCTGCTCAGTGATCTCAATTTAAGGGAAGTGACAAGCTGTGTTGGTACTCTGCACCCCTCAATGGACTCAGTTGTCTCCCGAGAGTCACAGCGTGCTTTGCGCTGTGCTAATTGCTAAAGAGGATGCTAAAGAGGCCCCGCCTACAGCCTAGATGTGGGGGACAGTAGCTAAGACGTAGAACCGTATCTTATTCCTTTCTCACTGATACCCAAAACATAGTAAGTGCTTGACCTTAATAAACGTTCATTGAATAGATGAATGAATGAATGAATGCGCAGACTAGAGAACATTCAGATGCAAAACTTGTGGTGCCGACAGTCAAGTTTTAGGTGTACAGAGAGGAGCATGAATTGTAGTGATGGTGGGAAACTGGACTTAAGGCAGGCCTTGAAGTTTAGAAACCTTTCGAGTAGGCAGGCCTAGGGTTAATCAGTACACAAACTGGCCATAGCATTCAGCGCTAGAAGGAGCCCTGCTTCAGCATTTCCCAAAGTGTGTTTTGCCAGACATCCTGCATACATGCATTGGAGAGACAACACCGTTACGCCGTTTCTTGGCGCTTCGCCATACACACAGGCATGCTGAAGTTTCAGAAGAGCCTTGTTGCAAAGCACACCCTTAAACTCTGTTTAATCAGCATTTCCCAGATTGACGAGACTGCAGACCCCCTTTTCATGCAACAGACCTATGAGTATCCCTCTGAACATACCCTGGGAGATGCTGATTAGCGTGATCCCCTCGTTTTCCAGCTGAGCCCCAGAGAGGTTGAGTGACTTACCCGAGGTCACAGAGCTAATCGATAGCAGAGCCAAGCCCAGGATTCCAGAGTTTTCTGACTCTTGGGTGGTGCGTTCCATCGCACCACTAAGTCTTTCTAATGGCAGCCTTGTCGGCAATTCCCTTGGCTGGGCCCTTCACTGCCACTGCAGCATTGCTGTGCTGACAAGAGGCCTTCCAGAGACCAGGCTGTTGGGAATTGGAATGAGACACCTGAGTTGGTAAATTATTGCATGCGAAGCAGTAAGAGTTGGTTCCTTGCCTCAGGGGAGTGCAAACTCCCCTGCCTTTTCTCCTCTTCTACTGAGCCCCGATAAAGATATATGTGCTTACTAGGAAGCTCAAGAAAGCCCAAACAAAGCCTGAGGAGCATTTAAAGCTCACATTCCTCACTGCTGCCCCGGTTTTTATTATGATGATAGAGCAAACTTTCAATTATCTGCATATGCAGAGGGCATCAGCACTGTAGATAATCTGAACCAATCAGTAATAATTGAAGAACATACACGATGCACATAATACACACACACACACACACACACACACACACACACACACACACACACACACACACACTCACACACATCCTCCCTTGCAAAACTCTTTGGTAGGTGATTTTGTCATGTCCTTTGCACAGGGAGCTTCTTTGACCAGCAGCCCTTTCTTCCCCATTCCCAGCCCTCTCCCTTGCTCATAAATCCCCTCCTTGAGGACGTCTTCCCTGACTGCACCAACCCCACTGCACTCACTCCTTGGGTCTGCATCCTTTCAGCGCACAGGTTGGGCAGTACCAACTCCCACAGGGATTTCCAAGGGTCCTGAAGAGTTTGTCACATGTGGAAGCTTCGCTCCCCAACTGGATCACCATGACTCCAGCGACCGGGGTACCAAGTGCTTGTGTTGGCTCAAGAATTGCTGCATATGAATGAACTTCTTAGGGCCAGGAAACAGGTGTGTGTTAATAGTTGAAATTGAGTGGCAAGTGAACGCAGGGTGAGTTGAGCCAGAATAGAGGCTGCCCAGAGGCCACAAGCTGGGATCTGAGCTGCTGCTTTCACCAGAAACTCAGCTACTTTGTTAGTGAGTTACTAAGAAGAGAACAAACCGGATGAATGGTGCTGTGGGCACTGGGGATGGGGGCCGAGACCTGGAGGGCCTCTGGGATCATACTCCTCATTCCTGCAACGAAGGCCGTTTCCTCTCCTGTCTTCCCTTCCACCATCACACTCTGCCTCACTTTCAATTCTAACTTCCAGGAAAGGAGAAAACCAGATTTAAAGGCTTCAAGAGACTTTTTGGGAAGAAGAAGAAAAAAGAGCCTGAAGATGCCCAGGGAA